TTTTTTTTTTTTTTTTTTGGTACCAGGGATCAAACTCGGGACCTTGTGCTTGTGAGGCAAGCAGGCAGGGGGCAGAACCACTGAGCTACATCCCCGGCCCCACTTTTTTGGTGAGTGCCAAGGATCGAACTCATGACCTTGCACTTGGCGAGGCAGGCATGATGGCACTAAGCTAAACCCCTAGCCCTCCTAAGTGAAATAAGCTGGACACCCATGTTTAAACACTGCATTATTTCTCTGGTCTGAGAAACTAAAAGTGGTAAGGACCAAAATGTATAAAAGATATTGGAAAATGGGAAGAAAAAGTTTAAGTCAAGGTGAAGCGGGTAGGGAAGGAACAGGATAAAAATGGAAACAAAGCTTTTGTAAACAAGGAGGGGAAGAGGGGCTGAAGAGAGGGGAGGGGAATGGGAAAAAAGAAGCAAAATACATCACGTACAGTTACAAGTTCCCTATGATGAATGTTACTATGTATATCTAAAATGTCCACTAAAATAAAAAAAAAATTAATAAAATGAAAATGAAAAGAACTGGCATTTCAGCTGCTGGGCCTTGAGGGTTGGATGAGGAGCAAAGACAGACAGGCATGATTCAGGTGGGAGCATGAGTGATCACTGCAGGGAACACACACCATTTCATTTGGCTGTCAGGAGTTAGGGGACCCCTGAGCTAGCAAGGACCCCAAATCCCAGGAGACAGAAGACTGAATGGGAGTCAGATTCCTATGCACAGGGCCCAGCAGGGAGGCTTCTACATGACCTCAAAAGGGGCTCCAGAGGCTTGCGTTATGGGCAAGTTCCAGGGTCTCCTTACCTATAAAAATGAGCTCGGTAATTCCCACCCAGAACAGCCCCAAGGACCAGAAAGGGCAAAAACTGCCCAGCCAGAGCCTCCCACGATAGAGCTCAGGGGGTTCTGGCACTACCCACACTCACCTTCTTCAACGCGAAGGAGGCTGTCTGGCCCCCACGCACCTCCTTGACAGGCATGCGCTTGCGATGAATGGACTTGACCGCAATGGACAGGAAGTTACCCAAGGGGTCTGGGCCCAGCAGCAGTGTGTCATTCAGCTTGATCAGGCCCCGCAGTGTTGTCCCCGACACCACTGTCCCCACACCCTGTCAAGGAGAAGATGCCAATCTAGTAAGTCCACACCACAGACCAGACTCCTGATGCCCACCACACACCCACCCGACCCAGTCTTACCAGAAACCACTCACCGGGACAGAGTAGGTGTCATCGATCTGGAACTCGGCAGGCTCTTCCTCCCTGTAGCTGGTGCGGGGGGACAGGAGGTTGAGAAACATCTTCAGCAGATCTAGGTTCTCGCCTGTAACGTTAGAGATCTGGAATATTGGGCACATCCTAAGTGGAGGGGAAGAGAAGGAATAAAGGAGAGAGGAGCTCAGATGGCCAGCTCCTAACCTAACCTGCCAGCAACCCCACCTCTGACATCTCGACCCCTGCCCAGGCCCGAATCTCCCAGCCAGTCCTGCCCTGTGGCCTTCTTCCCTTAGTTTTGTCTCTGAAACCTGTCCCCTCCTGCGTCTTCCCTGCCACTGCCCTAGGCCTACTACTTCCTCAAGCACATACAGGCTTTAAATCCCAACCTGCGTTTCCATCACCAAGAAACAGCCAGAGTTCTTCTCCCCTCCCAAGAACTAGTGCTGTTCTGCCCCCATGCTTATGCTCACTCTGATCCTCCTTCCTGTACACCTTTCCTCTTATCCAACTGCCAACACTTCTCATCCTCCACAATTCATCTCAAATACCACTTCCCCCATGAAACCCTTCCTGGTGAGTCCTCTCAATCTCGGGAGCAGGAAAGAGCCTGTGTGTTTACCGTGCTATATCTGACTTTCTGTCACAGTCATCTAAATGGCCTCTATCTTCTCATCAGGGTGAAAGAAACCCCCTGAGATCAGGAATTACATTTCCCCATATTTCCTACAACAGAGCTTGCCCACACAGGGGACTCAGCAAAATTCCCAAGCTGGAGCACGGCTGTCTGTGCCCCCTCTTCTGGCCAACTGGTGGTACTGAGGACAGCACAGGGTAGAGGCACAGCAGGAAAAGCCAGGCTGCTTTGGGTCCTCTACACAGTAGACCAAGCCAGCAGGCAGATGGTTGCCAAGGAGGCCACAGCTCTGGCAAAGGCTTTAGCCAAGTTCAGCGTTACAGCAGAGGACCTCCAACTAAGCTGAACGCTTTGGGGATTGTGTTCAATACACCTCTGGACGAAGAACAACATCTAATAAAATTTTTATGGACTGAAAAGATCCATTCATGGTAAGTGTCTGTGATTAGTGACCTGGGACTGGAGAGCTTTCCAGAAACAGTAAAAGAAAATTAATAATCATGAAAATGCCTGTGTATCTGCTAGCCAGGCACAGTGCTAAGCACCCTAGATACAATTTCAAATACTCACAAAAGCTCTGCAGGGGAGTATTATTTCCATTTGACAAATGGGGACAATGAAGTCTCAGCAGGGATCTCAACCTCAGAGGCTGCATCTCAGAATACGGGTGACTTGACAGGCCTCTGGCAATACTGCTGTCCTGGGAGACCTTGGGCTATGACAGGAACCTTCTATTTCCTTCAACCCCTGACTAATAAGTGTCCATGAGACCTATGCCTGAATGACAGCCATTCTAGGACTGTCACTGGCCACAGCCCCGAAGCACATGCTGTCCACCCATCACCTCTCAGAGCTGAAGTTGGAGGCTGTAACAATCACATCATCCTTGCTCTGCACCAGCACAGGGATCTTCCGGCAGCCTGGAGACTTCAGCAGGCGCTGTAACAGCTTCAGGGTTTCTTAAAGGGCAAAACGGAACAGAATTATGGGGCACAGCCTTCTCTTTGGCCAGGATTCCAGGGCAGGACAGGCCCACTCGTTACTGATGCTAGCACGGGACAGACAGGTGAACCAGTGATAAATGCCACAATGCCTGGAGAAGCAAGAAGGAGGAGCAACATTGGGTAAGTATGAGCTGTGGAGTAGCAAGAGCACAGGTGAGGACTCTTTTCTAAGGCTGTGTGTCTGAAACCTGGTGGATTTCTCCAGCCTCTAGCAGACCTACATCCTACAGCCAAGTGATTCAGGGGTCCCTGAGAGGATCCAACGCTCTTCCCAAAATGCTCTGCTTCTGGGGAGAAAATCTCATCTGACAAAGAGATCTCTTGGGCCCTGAGAAGTCTGCAGAGGCCCTTGTGTGAGGACTATCAGCAAGACAATCTGCAACAATGAGGAAGACAGACATGGAGGCTGCTGCAACCCTGTGGGGCACTTGGTGGTAAAGGTCACCAGATCCTCTGCCCCAAGGCCTGGGTATATAACCGACTTGGATGGTACAGCCTGATGCCTGCCTCCAGAGTTATCGGAAAAGAGTACCAGGTTAGGGTCAGGACCCCACACCTAGAATCAGAAAGAACAAAGAACAGAGGAAAATTCTAGGCTATGCTTCAATCAAGAGCCAAACGGAAGGAAGAGGAAGAAGTTTCAGGGTAGACAGAAATTCAGGCCAAAGTCTGAGGTAGAAAGGGAAGACCCTGGGCTGAAGCCCTGGCAGCAGACTGCCCTGCAGATGCAGTGGGAGATGGAGGAGGCTGCTGCCCACTGGAGGCGGCACTCACCTTGCAGGATGTTGGCGGGACACATGTCAATCTTGGTGACCACCACAAAGACAGGTACATTGAGCGCCAACGCCAAGCCCAGGTGCTCCTTGGTCATCCCCACGATACCAGCATTGCTGCCCACCTGCCCAAGTACAGAAACGGACCATCAGGACAGGACACAGAGGCTGCTGTGAGATGGGCAGAGGGGCTCAAAGGCATCTACCAACAGAAGCTGGGCTGGGCACAGACCACTTTAACCCAGACTCAAGATGTGGGCCATCCAAACCTGAGGAGACATGTAAACAAGAGATAAGATAAAACCAGACAGTCTAGCTGGGCAAAGTGGTGCACAACCACAGTCCCAGCACTCAGGAGGCTGATGCAGGAGGATTGCTCTGGGTTCAAGGCCAGCCTGGGCCAACAGTGACTTCAAGACCAGCCTGAATTACAAATCAAGATCCTGTCTCAAAAACAAAAATAACAACAACAACAAAAAAAACAGGGCCGGGGATTTAGCTCAGTGGTTCCACAGCCTGCCTCACAAGCACAAGGACCTGAGTTCAATTCCCGATAAAAACAAAAACAAAAACAAAAACAAAAACAAAAAAACCCCAGAGTCTGGGGGTAAAACTGTCTATAGTCCTCAAAGTGTATTCAGTTTAACATCCCTGGCCCTCAGTTTCCTGCAAAAAAGATATAACAATCTACTTTCAATCTCAATCAAAACTACCAACAGCATTTCTCAGGGAGAGAAAATAATCCTAAAATTTCATATGGAACCAGAGGAGACCTAGAATAGGTAAAGCAATCCAGGTAACAAAAGCAAAAAAGAAGGCAACACAATCCCATACCTGAAGTTGTATCACAAAGTTATAGTGATTAAAAAGCATGGTAGTGGCACAAAATCGGACACAAAATGGGCCAGGCGTGGTGGCGCATACTTATAATCCCAGCACTTGGGAAGCTGAAGCAGGAGATCACTGTGAGTTTGAGGCCAGCCTGGGCTACACAGTGAGTTAAGTCTAGCCTGAACCACACAACAAGATCTAATCTTGAAAAACAAAATAAAACAAAAAAATCAGATATGTGGATCTATGGAACAGAATAGAGGAAGCAGAAACAACCCCAGGCACATTCAGCCATTTGGTCTTTGACAAAGGGACCAAAAACCTACACTGGGGGAAGACAGCCTCTTTAATAAGTGGTGCCGTGGATATCAACATGCAGAAGACTGAGTCTAGACCCATATGTCACACTATGTACTAAACTACAATCAAAATGGGTAACGGTGTAAATGGTAAAATAGAAACAATCTGCTGAAAGATAAAACAAGTAGCCGGGCATTTAACTCAGTGGTTCTGCCGCCTGCTCTGCAAGCCCAAGGTCCTGAGTCCGATCCCTGGTACAAAAAAAAAAAAAAAAAAAAAAGATAAAACAAGTACAACTCTTGAAAGTATAAGTGTAAGGGGCTGGGGATGTACCTTAGAGGCATCCCTGCCTGACAAGCACAAGGTCCTGAATTCAATCCCCAGTACCCCCAAAAAAACGAAAGTATAAGTGTAGGCAAGCATTTTCTGAACAGAATCCCAATGGCAAAGAAATACTACTGAGAATAAATAAATGTGATCATATCAAATTAAAAAGCTTCTGCATAGCAAAACAAGTAACCAAACAGAGTGAAGAGAAAACCTACAGAATGGGAAAAAAATATCTGTCAGCTACTCCCTGGACTGAGGACTAACATCTAGAAAATACAAAGAACTCAAAAAAATTAGACCTCCCCCCAAAAAGAAAGACCCAATCAAAAAAATGGGAGCTAAATGAATAGACACTTCTCAGAAGTACAAACAGCCATAAATACATGAAGATATGTTCAATATCCCTGGCCAGTAGAGAAATGCAAATTAAAACAACACTGAGATTCCATCTCACTCCAGAAAGAATGGCCATCAAAATCAAACAGGGCCAGGGATTTAGCTCAGTGGTGCTGCCACCTGCCTCGCAAGCACAAGACCCCAAATTCAATCCCTGGTACCAAAAACAATCAAATAACAAATGCTGGCAGGGCTTAAGGAAAAAGTGGTGGGAATGTAAAACAGTACACCAACTGTGGAGACCAGTGTAGAGACTCCTCAAAAACAAAACAGAAGGACGAGACAGCGCCCCGTCCCCACAGAACCCATTGCAAAATGGACGAGGGCTTTCCCCTGGACCTCATGCCAGGAAGCATTCTCCAGGACCCCGCTTTCCTGGGAGATTTCTTGACCATCAAAAGCAAGGAAGGATATGATAGAAGGCCCATGGACATAACTCCTTTAGAACAAAGGAAATTAACTTTTGATACCCATGCATTGGTTCGGGATTTAGAAACTCATGGATTTGACAAAGCACAAGAAGAAACAACTGCATCAGTGTTAACCACTTTATCTGTCAGCCTGGACACTCTATAAGGAAGTCATTCAGGCACAACAGGAAATAACAGTTGAACAGCTAATGGCTCATTTGGATTCTATTAGGAAAGATATGGTCATTCTTAAAAAAAGTGAATTTACAAATCTGACAGCAAAGAATGAGAAAATGAAAAATGAATTAGATCAAGTTAAACAATAACTGATACATGGAACTAACCGAATCAGAGCGGATAATAAATTGGACATCAACCTAAAAAGGAGCAGAGTAACAAATACGCTTACAGATCAAGAAAAGCAACTTAGGGAAGCAGCCACAGAATTCACCACAAAGGATACCCAAACCAAGTGTTCAGAGACCAGTAATAAAACCGATACTGAAATTGCTTCCTTAAAAACACTGATGGAGTCTAACAAACTTGAGACAATTTGTTACCTTGAAGCCTCAGTGTTTACTTGCTTGGCAATAGCTTTGGGATTTTCTCCATTCTGGAAGTACTGCTAATGCTGCTACCATGGCTGCTAATGACTTCTTAGAAAACTACCCCGAAACACATTTTCTTTCAACACTGTCAGTTGCTGAAGAAATTTATTACAAGATTATCAAAGTATATACAAACTAGAAAAATATTTCAGGTATTTCAATTTGATTTTGTCTTTGTTTTTGGAACCAGAATTTTCTTGTGTTTGAACAACTTTGTAAATAAAATTTTGTTATCTGCTGGAAACAAATGAAATAAAAAGGAATTCATTTGACACAGCTACTCCCCTTTTAGGTATCTTCCCAGAAGGGTTAAAAATCATCATATTAGAGGGACACATGCATACTCATATTTACACAATTTATAAAAGTTTAATCTTGGAAATGATCTATATGCCCATCAGCAATGAATATTTAAGGAGAATGTAGTATTTATATAGAATGGAATACTACTTTGCCACAAAGAAAGATAAACGAGGCATTTGTAGATAAATGGAGGCACTCTGAGCCATAATATTAAATGAAAATCAGACATACAAGCTTAAATATTGCATGGTTTCTGTGAGAAACCAAAACTACAAATAAAGATCAAAGTCAAAGATAAATAATAGGAAGTAGGGAAATCTTTCTCAAATGTTAAGGAGGACAAGAGATGGAAGGAGATGGGAGAGGAAAGGGGAATGGAAAAAAGAGAACTGAAGAGAAAAAATGGAAATGGAGCTTTGGTAAATGGGAAGGGGACCAACAATCGGAGGAACCAGAGAGGGAAGGGGGTAGAGTTCAGACATGTCTGTTATATGCATGTACCACTCCCCATGACAGATGTCATCTTTATGTACCGCAAACACATAAAGAAATCTCTCCTTGAGAGAGGCTTACATGTCTTAGTATCCATGAAACATCCAGCACACAACTAGCATGAGCTAGGTGTGCTTACAATGGCAGCAGTTACTGTTACTATTCCTTCTGGTAACATTTAATGTCTTCAGTATCACCAGGAAGGCTGGTTGCATAAATTAGGGGCAAGTGTACAAAAAAGAAACTTTCCTTTTCTTTTTGATAATGATGACAGAACCCAGGACCTTCAAAGTGAGTTTTTTAGTTTTAGACAGCGTCTAACTGGTCCCTAATTTGCCCAGGCTTCACTTGGGCTTGAACTTGCAATCCTCCTGCCTCAGCTTCCCAGAGTGCTGGGATGACTATGCCTGGCTGAAATGCTTATCTTCAGATAAGGGTGGGTTACCTATTTAGGAGACACCGTCTCTTTGTAGTCCAGGCTGACCTTGAACTCTCAGCAACCCTCCTGCCTCTGTCTCCTGAGTGCTGGGTTACAGGCATGTGCTACCATGCCTAGCAAGGGTTAATCTTTAAAATATGTTTTTTAAGGGAAAAACAAAAACAAAACAAATAAAAGAAACAGGGAAATGTACACAGTATGTATCATAAAAAGGTGAGCAGGCTGCAGATACAGCACAGTTGGTAGAGTGCTCGCCTAGCATATTAAGGTCCTAGGTTACATCTCCCGCACCAAAAAAAGACAAATGCTGCTGAATCATGAGTTGAAAAAGTAGTTATAACATGAGACATTTGAGGAATATATTAGAAAATATACAGATTAGACCTTGGAGGACACTAAGGAACTATCATTCTTCATTTTTTTCACCGCAGTAATAGGAGACAGGTCTTACTTTTAGGAGTTATGTGCTGAATTATTTGATGGATAGGGTCACCATCATTTCCTTGCAATTATTTCTTGGCCTTTTGGCTAAGATCAAGTATATAACCTACTTGCAAATGATTCAGTCAGAAAAGAAAATATACACACATACACATACACATACGCACCGTGCACGTCGATTATTGCTGACTCTACATAGCAGGTGGGCTTATGACATTCATTATACCACTCTTTCCATTTATCTGCACATTTGAAATTAGAGGGAGAGAACACGCAGTTTTGCTGGCATGAGTACAGGTATCAACAGCACATACGCAAACTACAAACACTAGTTGCCTCTGGCAGAAAACTAGAAAGAGGAGGAAGGGAAGCTTTTCACTGTCCCCTAGTGCCTTTTATCTAGTACTCCGTGAACACATTACTTACTACAATAAAATTAAGTTACAAAAAAAGCGTGCTGTACCAACCCACGGGGCTGTCATGTTGTCACACTGCAAGAACTCACTTGTGTGCTATCAGAGCCCGCAGGGTGTCGAACCCCGCTGCTGCTGCTGCACCCGTTCCCTTCCCTCACCAGGATATCCACCTGCCGGAATGCACGGCTTCCTCCTGACTTCCCCACCTGCCCATCCAGCTCAGAATGGCTTCTGCTCTTCCTAAGCTGCAGAAGAGAGTGCTCTGCTCTATTGCTCTGTTGGGTACATACTTTTCTTTAAAAACAAAACAAAACAACTTTTCCTGGAAATTGACTGCCATGGAGCAATAATGAAATATTTCATTGTTTTTCATATAAGTTTTCAGGTTTGGGTCACGGCTTATAAAGTGAGACATGAACATTGTGTCTGGGGAGAAGATAATTCTATTCAACAGTCTTATTTACTTCAGCTCAGTTAGATAAATATTTTTATTTTATGAAGAACTAGAAGAGAGGAGTTTTATATCACAATTTTCATATCACATTAAAAAGTGATTAGTACACGTTCACAGTACATAATGATTACATTCACCATGGGAGCTGGTGCGTGTACACATTTTTCTTCCCTTCCTCCCACCTCTCCTTCATCTCATATTTCCCTAAACATCTGAAAAAAGATCTTCTATTTATCTTGTTTTACTCTGCATATATATATATATATATAAAAAAAACATTTTAAATTTCTCATATAAGCCACGCAATGTTTAAGCTTGTGTGTCTGATTTATTTCACTTAATATTGTGCTCTCAAGTTGTATCCATTTGCCCATGAATGCCTCGAGTTAATCCTTCTTTATGTCAGAGTAGTACTCCGTTGTTTTACAAATACCACATTTTCTTTAGCTATTCGTCTGTTGACGGGCATGTAGGCTGTTTCCGAGATTAAGCTATTATGAATTGTGCTGCTATACACATGTGTATGCATGTGTCCCTATCATATGACTTTCAGCTCTTGGAAAGATACCTAGAAAGGGAACAGCTGGGTCAAATGGAACTTCTATTGTTAGTTTTTTGAGGAATATCCACTATGATTTCCATAGTGGGTTTATTAATTTACATTCCCACCAACAAGGCGATGGGTTCCTTTCCCCTCATCCTCACCAGCATTTGTAGTATTATTTTGTTAATTCAAACAAAAATACAAAAGAAAACCGCTTACTTTTATTTCTTTTTGTTAAACTGGTGATTGAACCCCGGACCAGACCGCATGCCTTCTAGCTAGGCAAGCACTTTACCCGAGTTACATTCTGGGCCCCAGTAGTTTTTGTTTTGTGGTTGGGGGGACTTAACCCAATGAGTGCTGAGCTACATCTTCAGTTTTTTCTGTACATTTTATTTTGAGACAGGGTTTCACTAAGTTGTCCAGGCTGGCCTTGAACTTGTGATCTTCCTGTCTCACTCTCCTGAGGAGCTGGGATACAGGTGAGCACCACCTACTGGCTCCTAACACTTACTTTAAGTGGTTTCTATAACCATCTTAAGAGCAACTGCCTACATAAACCCTACGGATCTTCTACTGGGTCTCACTCCTACACTCTCATTCCTCAGTCTAGAGAACTAGTGATGGCTCTTCAGTGTTCTAAGAAATGCGAGAAGAAATCGTGCCGAGAGCCCAAGAACCTCAGGCAGAGTGAGTGCATTCACGCCACACGTCTGTCTCCCTCTACTGCTCTTGTGTGGGGAGCTGGCCTGAGGACTCTTGTTTGTGGGGCAACTTGAGCAAGTGTGCTAGGAACAGATGCTTGTGTTTACCACACTTATTAACATGAGCAGCTGAGGAACTAGGAATGGGGAAGTGCTTTGGGAAGGACTTGCCAAAGGCAAACATGTTCCATCCTGCACTAGTGCACCCTTCTTGTCATCCCTCCATTCTTCCCTCCCTCCCTCGCAAAGGCTAGAAGCTTTGTGCAGAGGGCTGGGGCCTCACCATTCCCACTCTGTCCAGGAATGAAGCTCAGCAACAGGAAACGCAGCAAGGGGAGCCCTCCGTCTCTCTCTTTTGCAGTGAATCTAATGACAAGCTGCTCAAAAATCAAATCACACCAAACTGTAAGCTCTCTGGGAGCCCCAGGATGGCCTGGTCCTGCTGTGCCATCAGGTGAACACAGCGCCAAGCACACAGGAGCGACCCCACAGGGGCCTGTGCCCTGGCCAACACTGCCCCTCCTGGCCTCTGAAGACGCCACCTCGGGCCTCCTGACTGATGCCCACTCCTCCTGATGTGAAGCACTGCCCTCCATGTCTTCCCCAAGCCTCCCCTCCTCCAAGCACCCAAATGCTCTAGAAAAACACTTCTAAAGGCAGTGAGTCAATCCCAGGAGAGATTTTCTTCTGTGTCTCTGAAAAATACGAGAAGTCTGCAAATTACACTGTGGTTTTACCAAGAGAACCCCTTCCTGGCCTAATGTAGGGAAGAGGTCACGTTCATCCCTGAGAAGGCCATGGTGCTCAGAGGACTGGGCACTGAGACCCCAAACTAGCCATCCTTACCTAGTGTTGAGTTTCAAAGCAGGAGGCCTCAGCTGCTGACCAATCCCAGGCCCCGGCATGTGACTCCCCTCCCCCACAAGCATCTCACACTTACCATAAGCATGCAGAAGTCAGGCAGGTGGCCGGTCATGCCAAAGACAGTGGTCTTCAAGTACTTCTCATGGCCAGCCAGATCGATGAAGGTGATCACTTTAGTGGACTTCTCACAGATCTTTGTCCACTCCAGGCTGCCACCATGGCTGTCAGGCTTATTTACCACATTGCCTTCACTGTCGAAGCCCAGAATGTCATTGCCCACGCTGCTGGTACGACCAGATTCAATCTCATGTTTGTGGCGGAAGAGCTTCTGGCGGGCAAAGCCTCGGCCATTGTCCAGCTCCCCATGTGTCAGGACCCCCAGAAGTGTGCTTTTGCCGGCATCCACATTGCCTACAACTGCTACCCTGTGTGCACATGGACCCACATATCAGCGTGAGATTAGTGGTGAAGAGACAACTTGGAGCCCAGAAATTGGACCTCCAAGTCCAGGCTCGCCCCTGCAGCCCTCAGCTCACCACTCTTCCTCCTCTTGTATAAGCCCCTGGAAATGTTCCTAGAGCTGCATCCAGGGAGTAAGAAGATGGTCAGGGGTCCCAGGGTCCCTTAACAGCTATCTTCCCTAACTCCCCCAGGCCCTGGGCTTCGGGCCTCACAGGCTGATGGGAGAGAAAATGCAGCCCACAGAACACATGGCTGGGCCTCTCCCACTCTTCCCAGATGGAACTATTCAGGGACAGGAATGCAGACAGAACAGAGCTGTCACGACCCTGGGCACACTTTCCCCATCTCAGGAAGGGAAAAGAAGGGAAGGGATTCTATCGTCGTGGGTTCTATCACTGGTGTCTGTGACACTGTAGCCCCCAGGGTCATGCACTAGGGAGCCCTGAAATGTTCTGAGGCCTCCTCACCTGACCTCCAAGAAGTCATTGTCTCCTACTCGTTTCCGGACCAGGTAATCACGTACACGGCCACCGGCTTCTTGGCGCTCCCTCAGGAGGATGACATCGGCCTCTATCTGTTCTGCCATGCTCTTCACTGTGGCGTAGGAGGCCTCCATATCAGCTTCGCTCAGCCCATACTCAGTTCCATCTGGTGACAAGAGCCCACACATCAGCAGGAGAGAGAGTTCTGACCAACCAGCCTGCCAACATGCCAGCCAGTCCCACTCACCTAACAAAGGCCCACCGGGCACTAAAGAAGAACACACACTCTCATCTGACAGACTTAGGACAAGACAGTGCCAGCACCTTCCATCAACCTGGGCACTGGGCAATTCATTCAACAAGCATTGAGACTTTCTTAGGTTTTGTGCCAAGTCTCATGCTTGGTGCTGAAAATACAGGTGCCCTGAGCAAGCTCGTGCCCCTGAGGGTCAGGCAACAAATTAATTACTGTACAGCTTGAGTGCTATGCTATAGACCTGGATGGAGAGAAGAGAAGCACAGCCCAGGGAAGTGAAGGGAGGCTTGCAGGTGCTGACCGGAGGCAGGGTGACAAATGAGCCCGTGAGAAAGGAGAAAGGATAACCACCAGAGTAGCAGAGCATGAACCGTGGCAGATCATGGCACATCAAGGAACCAGGAAGTGGTGTGGGGGAGCAGGACAGGGAACATGGAGTGGCAGGAAAGCACACAAGAGGTGGAAGCCTGCAGATGGGCATCAGAGAGAAGCAGGACTACTTTAGTACTGGGCTATGGGAAGCCTGGGGGTCAGACACAGGAGTAACCTGAGATCAAGGTGGACCAGAAAGGCCTCCCAGGGAGCAAGTAAGAGGCCAGAATGGGGAAGCCAGGGAGGAAGTCATTCAAATAGAATAAGCGAGCCAGGCGCACAAGAGGAAGGAGGGAAAGGGAGGGTCTTAGGATTATTTTACAGATAGACTGAGCTGAGGTGGCTCAGCTGAAATGTCCAGCAAGTAGCTGAAAGAAGGCGTCTGAGCCCAGGATGAGGAGAGGCAGACAGAGGGCAGGCTGAGCAATGCAGGATTCAATTCCCACCCTAGCTCCCTCTGCCCTTCCCCAGGCTCCTCCCAGGCACTCCCTCAGCAGCTTCTCTCCCCTTCACCCCCTCCCAGCCGCTCCCTTCTTCTCTCCGCCCCTCCTCCCAACCAAGAAAAAAGCCACACCCTCTTCCCTTGCAGGGAGCTACCATCTCTGGGCTCTTCCTTTGACCGTGGAACATCTCAAGGGCCTGATCAGCCACCGCACTTGCTCTGAGCTGACCGCTCCTGAAGAAAGTGCAGCTTGCAGACGTCACAGTGACCTTCCAGCCACTCTGTCCCATACCCGTTTCTCCAGCCCTAGAGCATTCTACGTGGCTGGCCACACGGCCCTTCCTTCTCCCACCCTGCCTGCCTGCCCCTCCCTCCCCTCCTGATGTGCCTCTCTCCCTGTCATCTACCGATGGGCCTTCTCTCTTTCTCCTAACCCTCCCCAGTCAGGCCCCATGGCACAATCTGTAGTCCCAGATACACGGGACACAGGAGGACCAGAGTTAGAGCCCAACCTGGGCAGCTTAGCAAAACTCTAGCTCAAAAAAGAAAGAGAAAAGAAATTAACATTCCCCTTAGCCATTCCGTTCTGTAGCTCCAGCTGTCATCTTGTTGATTTTTTTATTTAAGACAGGGTCTCATTACATAGCCCAGGATGGCCTCAAGCTTGCTGTGATCCCCCTGCCTCAGCCTCCTGTGTGCTGGGATTACAGGCATGCATATGCCACCATGCCATTTCAACTGCCATTCTGAAAACAACAAAACATTCACTTCTAGTCCCACCCCCTTCCCTGAGCTGTATACTTAATGCCCAAGGGCCTGGAAGACAACTCCAGAAGTCAGATACCCAAACTCAATCACCAGTAAGTAAAGTGATATCTACACAGCACTATAGACCCCTCACCCCCAGGGGGTGAGGTAAACAAGCAAGGGGAACAGAGGGGCCAACCTGGAGCCTTTCTTCACTGGCTCCACTTTCTGCACTCCCTATTCCTTCCAGCCATCCAAGCTTAACTCTACAGCTCACTCGGGCTGATTCAGTTCTTTACCTTCCCTCTTTCTCTGCTGTCTACCCACTACCACTGCTGGACACAGCCATTACTCTACCCAAATCACCACAACAGACTCTTAATTTGTCTTTGCAAATTCAGTCTCTATTCCTTCCTCCATCCTATATAACCCACGAGCTTTAAGCTCCTAAATAAACACAGCTCTGATGCTGTCACTTTCACATCAAAACTTCTGAATGGCTTTCCACCCCCAGCAGCATTCTAGCCTCTTCCAGTTTTTTTTTTTTTTCAGTACCAGGGATCAAACTCAGGACCTTGTGCTCGCCAGGCAGGCACAGCGCCAGAGCTACATCCCCGGCCCTACTACCATCTCTTAAGGGCCTCACCAAGTTAATCCACACCTCCTCCTCAATCTCCCTCGGTACACTCTGCCCCAGCGCCAAGTGGCCAGTCCTCTCCTCCCCTGGGTTCCCAGCATGGTCCCAGCTCTGCGCCTTTGCTCACGGATTTCCTATCCCATGCAGCCAGTCAGTACATCTCCTCCTGGCAAGGTCCCACCACTCTGCTCAGAGGCCACGCACATGTTTGCCTCCCTTAGAGTGCTTGGCACATACTACCTTGAGCAAAAAGTGTTCTGGACCATGCCCTGCCCCCCATAGAAGAGTATCTTAAGGGTGGGGACCATATCACAACCATTTCTTGATGGCCCACACAGGGTGGCTTTCCCATGTCACATCCTCAAATGTCTATAAAATGTGAAACAAACTAGCCAAGAGGGAGCGCTGGGGTTAGAGTTTTAAATGCACAGCCAAATGGGCTCCGAATATCTCCTGGGTTAGAGAAGGGCTTGGAAAAGTGTTCCTAAGGGGAAGCTAGAGAGGCTGCCATTCTCACCACACTCTCAGTTCTACCCATCCTCCCCTGCCACCCTCTGTATAACAAAAAGCAGTGTCAGGCCAGGGATGTAGCTCAGTGGCACTGTGAGTGCCTGGCAAGTGCAAGGTCCTGAGTTCAATCTTTGATTCCACACACACACAAAAAAAGATGCACTGCCTTCAGGTCCTGTTTCACACCACAGGCCATTGCCAATGTCACCTTGTCCACCTGTGGGTTCTCAGTGGTTCATATTACCCTTCAGCATGCATCACATCCCTTATTCCAGGAGTGGAGACAAGGCCTAAGAAGAAGAGCCACAGCGCCCCTATTACTGAAGGCCTATCCTTAGCCATGTCTGGCCCTAATCATATTTCCATCCTGCCAGCTCATTTACCTTTCTTATAAGCATCTGTCTGCTGCAAGGGCTGCCTACACTTTGGAGGATAAACATCTAACCTCTCTGGCACGACACTCAATGACCCTCCAGATGGGGCCCTGTCTACCTGTCCAGTCTCCTCTCCTGCCACTCTCACCTTCCCAGATCCCCCAGGCCTGGTCCCCACTGCATCTATGCCTCTGTGCGTGTGGCTTCCTCTGCCTGCTGGCCACTGATTCCATTCACCTGCAAACTTCTGCTCATTCCTTAGAGTCAACCCCAGCAGCAGCATCTCTGGATAGCCTTTCCTACTCCCCACACACTTAAGCCCCCTCTTGGATCCAGCACTTTCAGTGGAGCACCTGGCTCTTAGAAAGTCATCACTTAGTATTCAAGAAATGAACAGGGGTTTGTTTTTGTTTTGGTACCAGGGATCGAACTTGGGATCTTGCACTTGTGAGGCAGGTGGCGGCAACACTGAGCTAAATCCCCACCCCTGAACAAGGTTCTTTTTGAAAAAAATCTCATGATAAAAAACTACAACCTGGGATCCTAAGCAATTATTATGGTAACTACTACACTCACAAATGTTTATATGCCATTAATAAGAGATTTCCTTGAATTCTTACTACTTAATCTTCACTATTGGACCAAGGTCTAGGTTCTAGATTCAGTCACATTTTCAGACAAAGAGAAAAGTCAGCAGGCCAACAGATTTGCCAGGCTCCAGACCCTCACCTACTAAGGTGCTAATGCCTTGCCTCCTTCTGAAATGACCACTTTAAATTAAGAAGATATACATCAAGAACACATTCCTCTTTAATGCTCATAATTTCTTAATGTCTAATATATCCATTCTCTGAGGCAGTGATGGAGATATCATTATCCCCATTTTATGGAAGAAGCACAAGAGAGAGAGGTGACATACCAAGGACACATAGGACATCAATGATGAAGCCATCTTCTGGGGGCCAGCAACTGGTTGAGTCCTCTGTCTGATGCTTAACTTGTTTAACTAGTTCTGATCTCTTTCTGTCTCTAAAGAATTCCAGCAGGAAGAAGTCACTGTGAATCTAACAGCATGCAACTGGTAGATGAGAGGATAATGCTTAGGTGTGTAGGAGATGGGCTAATGACTGTGACATCTTCTTACGCTTTGCAACAGAAGGGTTAATTAGCAATGTTGCCAAGGCCTGGTAAAACACAGAATCTACATTAAAGGATGAGAGGAAAGAAGATTCTTAAGAATCTGGATCTTGAGCGGGGGATTTAACTCAGTGGTTCCGCCACCTGCCTTGCAAGCACAAGGACCCGAGTTCGATCCCCGATACCACAAAAAAAGAATCTGGATCTTCAAAGACCAGTCCCAATACTGGTCAAAACTGACCTTTACGTGGTTTCTGAAATTCTGCAAGTTTCTGAAATTCTACAAGTGATCTTTGAGTAGTTCATCTTATTACAGTGGGCTAGAAGTGTACCTGACAAGCTGCTTTTCTTTTTGGTACCAGGGATTGAACTCAGGACCTTATGTTTGTGAGGCAGGCGCACCACTGAGCTAAATCCCCAGCCCAAACAAGCTTTTCAAAGGCTAGCAATGATTTCTCAGTCATCAAGTTGAACAGCCTTTTCTGAATTCGACACTGTTGCTGTGTTGGCCATTTGCCCTCTGCATCTTTAGCACTTGACAAAGCTGACCAATCCCTCCCTTTCCCAACATGCAACCTCTCAGTTTGCCTATCTCTCTGCCCATACTTCTTTTAGCTGATAAGACTCATAACTGGAGAAGTGGCATCCAGGATAGGAAAGAACAGAGATAGAAAGGACAGTTCAAAAGACAGGATGCACTATTTAGAGCGCAAAACCTTTTTCCTTTTGTCACTCTTGTAGCAGTTCCAGAGAGTATTTTCTCCTGAGGTTATTTGTGTATACTATGTACCATCTTTTCTTCTTGGGGTACAAACCATACCTTTTGGGGGGTGCTAGGGATTGAGCTCAGCGCCTGGCACATGCTAGCCAAGTGCTCTATCACAGAGCTATACCCCCCAGGGCCAGGGACCAGATTTTAAGTATCCAAAAGAGCTTTGTAACAAGCCATGTAAGATATTTACTAGATCTAGTTCAAATTGTTAAAAATAATTTTGAGATCTCCTCAGCCTTAAACTCAGACTACAAAAGAATTATAACCTGACTTTACAAAGCCTATACTGAGCAAAGAAAACTGTTCCCTTAATGAATTCAAACCCATCCTGGGCTTTCCACAAAGATGACAAAGACAAGTGCTAGTACAGGCTGAATTCATAACTGTTAACAATCTCAGCTGTCATGTCAGCAAAGATATGGTAATAATGGAGAGAAAGGTAAGCGGGCCTTGTACTGGAGGGTATGAACTAGGAGTACTGGGGTGGGGGCGTCTCATGATATAATCTGGGATTCTGTCACAGGGGCTGCATTCCTCTGAAACTAGAGGCTGTGATACAATGAATAAGCAGGTTGGAGGACAATAACCAACACAGTCATAAGCTTACATGTCTGAAAGGACCAAGTGAAGAGTAGAGGGGACGTCTGTCATAATAGCAGACTGAGTGGTCAGTGTGGTCTGGGTAAGTGGCTTGACTGAGACAGATTCTGGACTTCTTTTTCTTGCTGACATCAGAAAGAATCACAGTTTCTTTGATGGGCAGGAGAAAATAGCAATGGGAATCCATAAACAGGGCTCAGAGGGGAGACCTGGAGCTGCCCAGGGCAAGTTTAATTCTAGACCTATGACTTGCTCTGTCACCTTGGACAAGAAGTTTCCTTGCTTTGTGCTTCACTTCCTTTTATGCACATGGGGAGTGCTGAGGTAGAAAGGAAGCATCTGTAGAACTGCTCAGAAAGAGAATATTTAAGTGTAAACACATCATGCTTTCTAAGGTAGCAACTGACATTTTCTCTATTCATTATGTCCTCCAAATAGCTCTACAGATACTAAAGCAACACTGCAACTCAGACACATGAGCAGAAAGTTGATAAAGAGATAAAAAGTGCTCTAAATAATTGTTAAAAATAAATGAAAGGAAAACTATGCTCACCTGATCCCTGCCCAATGACATATATGGTCTCTCCGCATCCCTCGTCCATCCTCTCCCACATCTGCCGAAGTAGGCTGTCATACTGCTCTGATGTAGGGCTCACTAGAACCAGCTAGAAGAGAAACCAACAGCCTTAGGACCACACTTACTACAGAGCACCACAGCCAACAATGATCAACAACCTGACCAGAGACCCTGACAGCACCCCACAGCGCCCTGACTGAGGGGAACTGCACAGCCCCCTTATGCCCTCTCTGCATCTCCTTCAACAGTCTTGAATGACCCAGGTAATGAATGAGGATGTCTGAGCTATGGCCCACAGCAGAAAAGACCAGGACCCAATCAACTGAGAATCTAGCATGGCGGGAAGAAACTGATGAGCAGCACTTTACACCTACATGCCAGTCTTTTACCTGCAGTTTGTACCTGGAAATTCAATGACAAAGATCTCATGTACAGCCATGCCCTCCACCCACAGGCCAACCAAGGAATTCTGCTCCACCTTATCTTAGTCCTTTTTACTATTAGGGGAACAGTAGTGGAACTTCATCTTCAACTAAATGTCAATACCACTGAGATGAGTATTAACACCATAGCTGTATAAGCGTCAGTTGATAACATTATGGTATCAACCATTCTTTTGTGGAAGCCACTCACCAATAGGCATGTCAGACCTCATTTTCCTGTGCGACCTTGGACAAGGAACTTAATGTCTCTGAATCTCAGATTTTCAAATTAGAAAATAGAGATAATACTACCTTGCATCCTACAGCCTCTGTAAATACCACGTAAATAACATGTAAAGCATCTAGTCCGCACCTCAGTACATGAACATTACAAAGATCTCTCCATCCAATCATATCTTTAAAATCTCCTTGCATGGAACTTGCCATCACTGTTCACTAATTGTTTCTCCTTTTGGAAACTCTTAGAGCCTTAGGTCCCCATATTCAATTATAGTAAGGATATAATGTCTAACATCTAATCTTTTCAGGATTTAATCTAGTCAACCCATCCTTTCTCTCCTCCATACAGGTCAATTTTCTTTTCAGCATCATCGGTCCACCTGTTTCTATATGCAAATACATACAACGTATCATATAGACATATATCTTCTCAACTTTAAAATCTCGGGGATTTCCTTAGCTATGTGGTGAGGTAACACCTCCCTAACCATGAACATTAAATAAGCAGGCTCTGCAACTTCTCACTGTGTTTTCAGGTTTCTTCAGCACCATGACTATGTACTGACATCCAGCTGGTCCACTCCAGCCAGATGCCTACCTTAGAACTTCTCAAGGTGACTCATCAGAGCTTGTGTAGTAAGTAACCTGGATGCTGCCTGGGCCATAGTACCTCACCTATTTTCCCTCCGACTATCTCCAACCTCTGCCCTATTATGGCATTAGAGGCACCAGAAAGGACCACTGTGACAAACAGGACCCAGTTGATTTCCAAGTGCTCAGCTGAGACTAGGAGAAAGAACAGTTGAAAAACTTAGGTTGCAAGGAAAGTTCTCTTCAGTTTAGGGCCAAGTTTCATGCCGTTTTGCCATCACGAGCTACAAAAAGTCACAAGCATTTTCAAAGTTTTGATAAAATCTCTATTGTATCTATCTTACAACAGGTACTGGTGTTCATCAGTTGCTATTTAATCCGCACAGGGAATTACTGTATCCAGTTCACTTCAAATATTTACTGAGTCGCCAGTACAGACCAGGTGCTTACTAATCGTCTCAACACATGCTTTTAATTTTTGCAATGAATTTGCATTTAAGATGAGTAGCTGAAGAACTGAAAAGTTAAGAAATTTTCCCAAGGTCAAGGAGCCTTTTAAATGGCAGAGCAGGAAAAGGAACCCACTCCTGTCTGACTCTCAAATTGGCATTCGTTACTTTATCGACGTTAAGCACCTTCAAAACACCAGTCACCTCATACTTTTTCCTTCTCCACAGTTCTAAGCAGATGGATAAGCCCTTAATTCTTGCCTACCTTCTCAAAAGCTCGGAAGGCACTATTTAAAACGTCCTTCATTACTCCACTCATACAAGACAGGCTCCACTCCCAGATGGTGAGATTCTGGGTCGTGCCCCTCTATCCATTTTGTTTTGGGTGGACTCACAAAGTGGACGTCCCTCGGACACATCCTTCTCCGGGCTGACCGACTGCTTTCTGTTTCTTTTCCTGAGACCAGGAAGGGACGCGTCGGCCAACCCAGCCTCCCCTCGGACTGTCATCCCGAGCATCCCGCCCCCCACGTCCCCACTACCTCCACGTCCCCAGCCCAAGCCACCTGGACCCCCAAGCCGTCCAGGAGGC